GCTCGCCGTACTGTTGGGGGGGAGAAGCGGTGGGGGGGAGATCTTCATGTTTTGCGGTCTGCAGTCTGACCGCTAGATGTCGCTTAAAGTTACACACTGTAGCTTTAAGAGTTGGTGCTATATTTGATCTAAAGCAGGATTCCAGAACCTTCTGATTAATCTATGTAGGGTTTTTAATCTTATTAGGATGTATTATATATAAATAAATGTGAAGCTAGTAGGGAAGGTAAAAAAAAATTAGATTTATGTCCAGATTTTTTAATTTAAATTAAAGAAAAAGGCAAATCGACTTTATACACTGCAAAAAAATTCAAATCTCAATAAGAGATATTTTTTCTTAAAATAATTGCATTTTTTTTTTTGAATTAAGGAGGTAAGTGAGACACTTTGCCAATGGAACAAAACAATTTACATTTAAAATAAGAAAAAAACAATTATATAGCCTTATTACAAGTGCATATTATCTAACTATCTTATTTTAAGAGTAAAAATACTCATTCCATTGGCAAATCATCTTATTTACCTGCTCAACTTAAGGGTAAATACATTTAATTTAAGGCATGTTTACTCATTTTTAGGTAGTTTTTTGCAGTGTAGGCATTGTTTTTTTTAAATATATGTTTTTTCAGCTAAAAAATTTTGAGGTGTTATTTTAGCCATTTCAGGTTGCTTCTAATACTAATTAAATGCCTGCTGGGGTTTCATTGCCACTGCCACAGAAGGTTTTACTCAGTTTGTCCTGTGAGTAAAGCTGAAGAGTTTTGCAAATGCGCTGTAAATTGCTTTTTTTGGTCTGTCTGTGACCCGTTTCATTCGTCAGACGAACTTTGCTTACTTAACATCACATGACCCACATTTAATAGTGAAACTCAAGGCAAACAGTGCTGTTTAAATCAGCTGAATGCTAAATAAAAGATTGGTTTTACAGCCAGGAAGCTTTATTTAGCATTAGGACTTTCAACTCTGCAGCTGGAACTTCTCTCACCTTTTGACGGGCTGTTTTGCATGTATTTGACTATAAACATGCTTTCTTTTCCATGTTTTCCTCAGCCTCATGTTCCTGTATGTCCTTTAACCCAGAGACCAGGAGGTTGTCTGTAGGGATGGATACAGGAAGTATCTGTGTAAGTGCGACTGAAAACCCTCTAATAACCCTTCCTTCCTCTGTTGTCAGCTGCTTTTCATCTTATTAGGCAGTAATCACCTAAGGGATATAAGTCACTGCTCTATTCTTTCTTTCAGATGTTTATGAAAAAGATTTTGCTATTGATAGGAAGAAATGAAGTTGTTATTGAATGAACTGCACTCAGTCCTCCCATCATATGAGCCCATGGTTGTGTCGCTGCGTTAAAGAGCAACCAGCATGTAAATGGTCTCTTCAGGTCCTTTGGGAATCAAGAACTCAGTGTCCTCCATGTTATGCAAGGTGGAGCTTAGCGTTTCCTAGACTATTCTAAGTATGCACAAATCTTTGCTGATGAGATTGTAGTAGTTCATTAATGTGATGATGGTATTTCTAGGTCATATATGCTGACAGCTCAACCACAATGTGTTTCCTGAAAGGAAAAGAAAATCCTGCATATAGCTGTGGAGCTGCTCTGGGCATTGCAACCTACCTCTGCTCTTTCTGTAATGGATTTCACAAGCAGATAAGACAAAGTATTTACCACCTAAACTCATATATATGTAATTTTGTATACACAGTGTATACAAAACGGAATTTCAATACATACAGCTTTTCTACAATGAAAGAGCGGCTTAGCAGTAAAATGAACATTTCCATTTATAAAGTGCAGCAGTGATCAAATTGAAAACAGTGTAGGAGAGACATAGTTCAGAGCAGTGCAAAAATAAATGAATCTATATGGTGCAAAATGCAGTAGAAAACTAGCCTGGGTGCCATTCCGAACTTAGTCCCGCCCACAAGGTTTGAGTTCGGGAAGTTCGGTCTGGCTCTGCTCCATAGTAGCGCGAGTATTAAAGCCCACTGTCAGGCGATCCAATCAAATTGTCAGGGCGGGCTTTATACTATGATGGACAGATGATCAACAGTAACGTAA